GGTCTTCCCCCTCCAATCCCTTCGTTTGTGGGTCCTGCCCCTGCAATCCCTTCGTTTGTGGGTCTTCCCCTTGCATCCCCTTCAATGGTTGCCCCCCTGCAATCCCTTCCTTACTGTCATGCTGCGTTGGGGGTGCTTCTGCTCTGTTTGCTGAAGAAACTTCCTTCGCTCTTTTTTCGCCATCCACATCACCACCAACCTGATTTGGGTTTTTTGCCATATGTCTTTCTGATCTTGTGGGACTGACATTTTCCTTGATATTGTCCTGTTTCTGTTTCATTGTGTCTTCTCCCTCAGAATCAGTAGTTGTTTTCCCGTCTGCTTTAATTGGACTCTGATCTGCTCTTTCATTTATAGTTTGTGTTTTGTTTTCTTCAGTGTTTGCGTCTTTGTGTTGTTTAGGCCGATGTCCTTGTCCACTATTATCAGTCAGATTTGGAATTTCATAATTTCTTCTTTCACTGTTATTATCAAATTGTTCAGGTTGTGCTTGTCTTCCATCATGTGATTTGCATACATTATTTGTTATCTCTCTACCTGGGTGGTTATTATTTTGTTGTGTGCCAGTTTTTGTTGTCTGCATGATATTTTTGTTGGAAACATGGTCATTTTCCACCTCTATTTGACACAAACTGACATGTGAACTGTCATTGACCTTTTCTTCCCTCATCAGAGATTCCTCTTCTTGATCTTTACCAAAATCTTGCATTTTTTCTTTGCTTCCAGTCTCTGTGGGGAGATACAATTAGTAATTTTAAATGCATTACTTTCCCACACCAAAGGTTTAAAAGTGAAGAATTACTGTCATGAAAATATTATTATTATTATTATTATTGTTAAAAGTAGCAGTAGTGGTATTATTGAATAATAATAATAATAATAATAATAATAATAATAATAATATGTGTTTCTGACTCAATTGAAACAAACTTTTTTCATGTCCTATCTGGCAGTATAACAATCACAATTGTTGTCTGAAGGACAAACAAAAAAATGAAAAATGAAAACAACACAGTAGAGAAACCACAGCAACAACCAACATAAGCTTAAGTAACATAATCTTAACCTTAATGTTTAGAGGTAGCAGCCAACCCAGACAGTGTGCGTGTGTGCACCTGTGTTTGTGAGCCTGCACACGCACACTGTCTGGGTTAGCTGTGTTCATGAGGTTTCTCCATTTAAGTATTTAATAATAGGTGTGGGAAACCACAATCCTGCCCCCCCAGGACATGAAGCAGGCATGGAGCTTCTTCTATTGGAGGGGCAATAGCTTCTAATATTATTGACTTTATAAGAAAATAAGCAAAATATGAAAAACACAAATTGAATGGAAAAAAGCCTCTATAGACATGACTGTGTGCATAATGACATGTTATTGTTAGAGTGTTTGTATATGTTTGCAGTTGGCCTTAAACAACATATCACCAACATATGAGGCATTAACAGCAGCATCTAGACTTGAATGTAAGTCTAGCTGGTCTAACCACACATTTTTTGTCAATAATTAATTGGTGCAAATGTAATCAGATTTGTCTGACAAAGTAGGAGATTACGCAATATTTGGGCATGCATTAGAGTCTCACCCATGTTGTTTTTTCTCCATTTCCAAACGAGAAAAACAAGAAAAACAACAAAAGTAATAAATATAATGCCAACAATCAATGCCGCAATGGTAGATCTAGCCGAATCCACAGAGAAATCATCTGAAATAATAAAGCACGTGAGATAAAATAATTATTAATAAGTTAACATATGTTTTGTCAAGTTTGCCAGTTTGTAGCTAAAATTTGGATCACATCATTAATTTAAAAAAAACTTAACCTGGGACATGTATCTTGACTTCTCTATGCTGTTTGTTTTGTTGGATTCTACAGGTGATGTTCTTGCTGTGTTCTTTTTCCAGAGTCAGTCTGCTGCTGAGGGCATAGAGATCATCAGGACCTCTGAACATCTCTTTAGACCCAGCAGGGATGATCTTGCCCTCACTCTCCAGCCAAAACACATCCGGCTCTGGATACCAGCCTTTGGATTTACATTCTAACACTCCAGGGCTGACTTTGGTTATCTGAATATCAGCTTCTGTAAACACATAAAATTGCGACATAAAAGATAAACAGTAATCCAATTTCTACATTCAGCAGCATATACATTTTGTTCACTTACCGACAACAAGTTCAACACTCAAATCTACACTTAGTCCAGGAATGAAGCACCTGTATGTTCCTTCATCTGACAGCCTCACTTTGGTGAGTTTCAGTGATGCATCTCCTGTTTTCAGTTTCTCAATAGACACTGATGTTCTGTTCTTGTAGGATGGATTTTGGCCAATCAGATGATCTTCACCTGACCGCCACACATGGACAAATCTGGGATTCAGGTCAGATCTTGACCACTCAACCATCTCATCCACAGCATTGATGGGAGGATCCACACTGCATAGCAACGTGATGTCTTGAGTCTGACCAATTACTGCCATTATACGAGGCTGACTGTTTGTCTGAGATTCACCTGGGAAAGAAAAATGTGTTTTTGATCTTTATTTAGAATTAGAAAACAGTAAATGTAAACTTTATAAAAAAAATGGTTTAGTCACAGATTTGCATAATCTATATATCGAGTTGTATGTGTTTTTGGTTACAATTGTCTTTCTTTCTTTTTTTCGTCAGGATAATGAAAATAATGTGGTCTATAGGATGTTGTCAAATTAAATGCAAGGTCAGATAAACTAAAACAACAAAACAAAAACCATGACATAATAAAGTCATAGCTAAACAGTGAATAAAAACAAAACTAAAATCCCCACAAATTCAACTTAAGTATGAATGTAGTACAGAAGAAAATATGAAACTCATGTGTGTCTCATAATTTTGAACTGTCATTCATGTGAGTGACAAAATAACTCACACTTCTGCTACCATCCATACTTCATAACATGAACCTGTTCACTATTTAAGACTGTTAAAATTCACTTAATTTAAAGTGAATAAAATAATACATGTGTGGTATAATTAGTAATGAAGAATTATATAATAATAATCACAGCAGGATAAGAGAGAACAAAATAAACATAGATTACTTGTCTCACATTTGGGGATATAGGGAAATGTAAAGACGGAAAACTGTTAGGAGGATTTGGAAAAGTAATATATGGCCGTTATTTTAGTAGGTTAAACACATGAAAAAAATAAAATGTTAGTAATAAACTTGGAAACTTCCCTCTTATACGGGACCTTCTTAACCTTAACGTGCTATAAAATATGACTAATCTAAAGGGATGCTTTCACTTTCATTCTTAGTAGTGCACTGACCTGTTTATTTGAACAATGACACCACCAACTATTGTTAAACTGTAACCGTTGATATTATTTCAACATTTGAAAGACCTTGAGCTAAAATACATTTTGTGATGGAAACCAAATGTTCTTAGCACATCTGGTTGCAATTTCAAATACAGTGTTGTCATTCAAAGAGAATCCAAACACATAATTTAAACATAAATATTTAAGCAAAGCTTTTTTTTTCTATTGTTTACTTATTTATCACAGAAAAAAGTGATCACTTAATGAAGAAGTTATTCCAAGTTAATAAAATTTCACAATTTTAAAATAGATGAGGAACAATGCAGGAAGCTGATGATGCATTGTTAAGTGTTCCCCCCCAATTGATTCCTCACTTGTTCTCTATTTAGAGCACACCTTTAAATACATTATTGTAAAGTGGTATTTGTGTAATGACATTTTGCCATAAAGTATAATGCATACAATGCAATTTAGAAACACCCCTGTTGCTTCAGTAAATAGTACAAAACCCTACATTTAAAACATATGTATTTCATAGTTTATAGTATTAATATATAACTACTAATTTCATATTATTTAATTTTTTTACTTTTTAATGCAACCCAAGAAAATACCTTAACCCTACTGATAAGTTCTTGTTGAAACTTTATTTACACAGAGGTGTTAATAAAACTGTAGTTTGTCCACACTATGACATTGTGCGTATCCTGAGTGTACATATCAAAAGTATATTGTCTGTTGTCACTAATTGTGAGGATACATTACCTGCGTTGATCTGTGTCATTTGAAGAATGATAACTGAGTGGAAAAACACTGTAGTCCATACACTGAGTCGAGATTTAGAGGATCGTCTGTCCTTCTGTCGAGGCATTGTGAGCTGCAGAAAATTCAAATACACACAGTTGTAAGACATTTTCTTTCACACTGGAAATCAAATTATGGTGAGGAAAGTTGAGGATATCTTACTGTTGGCTCACTTTTCAATCAGCACATTAAAAGTCAAGTCCTTAAATCAAATAACTTGACCTGCACCTGCTCGATCTGTCTTATCTACCTCTAAGTCTATTAAAATCTACTCTGTGCAGCAGAGCTGTAAAAACACACCACACCTATAGTCTGATATAAAATGTTCAGGGACAGACTTCAGACATGTCCACTGTGTTCTGAACTAGATACGTTGAGTGTCACATATGAGATAAGAATACATTACTCATTAATGATCAAGTTTACACTAAAGAGAAATCTTAATGTTGTGTTTTAAACCAAGTTAACAGTTTAACTAAAATCATAAATATATGTGTGTGTTTTTTTCTTTATTTCTTATTTTTAGCTCCTTCTATAATGGGTTACATATAAATAAAAGGCTGTACTTTGACCTGGTTGCCAGGTAGCTGATTACCGCGATTATAAAGCACCTGTGAGGCAGTGATATGAGCTGCTTTATTGGACTCTGCCCTCATATAACTGAAAAACATGACCGTGTTTACTGGTCAGATGGGGGCACTATGGGACCTGTTATTCATGCTCACACTATCATATAATACTTAACCTCATGTGAAGTTTCACTCCTAGCTCTTTTTCCCTTTTTGTCTCTGATTTTTTATCTGTGAATAAAACACTGAATCAGCATGTGTCTCTTGTGACATTTTTAGATTCCTGTAAATAACTACAGCACCAATCTTTCCTATTGTGGAAATGCTGCTGTTGTGCTAAGGAACAGCAACTGTAAAAATGTGTCAAAATTCCTAAAACACTGGAATCGAGGCGCTCTCATATGGTCTCAAAATAGCTGTGTTGTTTAATCAGGCAATAGGTAAATGATTGAAATCTGTAAAATAATTGTGTATCGGGGCAACATGTAGCAGGGAATGTTTGCTATATACTGTAAGTAAGCACAAAAGTATAAAAATATAAAGTACAAGTTAGGAATGAAGGTCCAGAAAGAGGACACTCTGTTTGAATTCATCAGCCAGCTGTTTGTTTCTTCTCTGTGAAGTTTGCACAGTCTCACTGTCTCTGTGCGGGTTCTCACTTCCTCCAAAGTTGCAAACTTTAGTCCAATCAGAAGCAATTGCTTATGGAACTTAATTGTGCCATATGATGATTATACTCTGATAGTCCATCACAGCTGAATGAAATCAAGTGATAGCCTAAGAAAAATGTTACACTTTTTTTTTGTTGTCTTTTTGACCCCCAGTCTGTTCTATACTTATTGTTGAGAAATCCCGCTATAACCACTTCGATGCTCATCTTCTGTTTAAAGGAAAAGTCTAACCCTCTACAATGGAGGCAACATTTACTGATATTTATTTATTATTTGTTAGCTTTGCACAAAAATAGCTGGTTACTTTGAGTAAATTTCAGAGTCTGTATTTTTTCACTTTTACTTGTGTAAAGAAATTAAATCAGTAGTCCAACTTTTACTGAGTATTTTTTAACACTAGTGTCTGTATTTCTACAGAATGTCTATAGGCTACTTTTGTCAACTCTGGTGTCGTCATTAGGATGAAGATTTGTGTCAGTGGATTGTACTCTTGAGGTTTATATTGTTAAATGGTAATTATGTGAGGGTGTATTTCAGGTTCTGTTATGTAGAAAAACAAAACTAATATAACCCATAGTGTAATGGATTGCTCACTCCAGATAATAAATAATGTAACACATTACATTAAAGTATAATTTGAATTACAGCATGAGCCCACACTGATTAAAGCCACAATCAATAAATCTGCTTATATGACATAAAACACAATGATGAGGTAAAAACACTTTTACAGTTAGCCTTGTTTATCATGCTGGGGTTTAATTTTTAAAGCAACATGTTTCTTTTATTTATGAACAAACCAATTGTCTTTGTTAGTGAAGTGTGTTTCCACCCAGGAAAAGCTTGACTATATAATGTAATTTTATCAGTGGCAATATTTTAACTAAAACAGAGACTATGGTGACATTATGGTAAAGTAGTGTGTTAATCTAATAATGGTAAAGGGAAAAATATTTCTGCTTCATTCCTTTAATATCAAAAGATAATTCCCTCTACTTACACTTGGTAAATGCCCTTATGATGTTAAGCACATATTGTCTGTGTGGCAATGTTCAGTATTATTCCAGGTAGTTTTATTGTGAAACCTTGTTTTTTTTAAAGGAATTATTTAGCTTGTAGTTAAAAGCTTTAATTATTGAATAAAAGACTTAAAGGAGAATGAACATATTTCATGTAATTGCTGGAAAAATCAAGGTAATACTGTTCTGATATCAAAAGCTAGTTTAAACTAGAATGTTATCTTAGATTTCTTAGATCTTAAATATCTAGTTGTAACTCACTGGTGTCACCTTAAAATCAGTATAGTCCGTAATAGGAAATGATGTCATAAGTAAACAGGTAGCTAGTCAGTGAATTGAGGAGAACGATTTTCAGGTGCAGCTACAACTCACGTATCTCCTAACAGACGCCAACACTTTCAATACGAGTCTTTATCTTTTGTTTGTGAGAGCCCTGATGGTTCTACTCAACAGAGAGGAGTCAGAACCACTGAGGAGAAGCATTTTAGTCCAGTATGTAATATTAAAAGAACTTTCTCTTCATGCACAATTTCTCAACAGTGCAATATCTAGCAGACAGTGCAGAGTACTGGTGTGAGGATAAAGTGGGTCATAGAATCAACAGTGGCAATATTACCATAACTGGTAAGTTCATCATATTTGTGAAATTAGTACATAGTTGTTGTTTTTTTTAAAATTATGTGATATTTCTCATCCACTTTCTCTTGTATCGTACATGTATTTGTCAGTTAGCCTTTTTGTTTTATTACTATGTATATATTTGTATTGTAAAAAGGTAATGTAAAAATATTGTATTTAAGCAGCATCAATTCAAGTTAATGTATCACAAGATCTTTTATTATTATTTATTATTCTATTATTATCTTTTAGGGAAGGGATTGTAACATTTAGTCCTTTTCCTGAATCAGTGTTGGTATAGTTTGTATAATAAATGTGCTCGTTGATAAATTAGATATTGATCTGAAAATTGTTTCACACACATCAATATAAATCACTCTTGGGGCTCCCTGGTGGTCACCAGTGATGGGAATAATGGCGTTACAAGTAACGGCGTTACTAACGGCGTTACTTTTTTCAGTAACGAGTAATCTAACTAATTACTATTTCTATCGTTACAACGCCATTACAGTTACTAACAAGAAAATGCAGTGCGGTCGTGTTACTATTTTTCAACAAACAGACGGTTGAAGCTGTGTTCAGCTTACTGCATCTTATATCAGTTGCACGAAAGTAGCTGTCTATGTAAGTAATCTGGGCGCTACAGCTTTAAGCAGCTGTGCGCGCTCCCCCGGGCGGCAATCACTTTTTGGCACAACACCTGGAGCTAAGGGGGCAAAACAGTCGCAGGAGTGCTGCTGTTTGACTGAGGAGGAATAAAGTAGTCGTGGTAAGCCAGTCACATGACCACTTTAAGATGACAAAGCAACAAGGTGATAGATACCAGTTTTTAAATTGTGTTGATAGGCCACGTAAAACCGGAGTCATGATAAACAATATATACGCGGCGCTTTTTCCTCAATAGTTTCATCACGTTTACTGTCTAAGGACAGCGCTAGCAAGCACTCTCTTCTTATGAACAAGAAATTAAAATAA